TAGTATTAATAGACTATATTAAGCAATGGAAACATACTTCGATACCATTTTTTCAAAAGGAAACTCTCTGTGAACATTAAGGCCTCCTTTATCCTACATTGATTTGGCTAGGGTATGTAAGATGGAAGATTCTTCATAGTAACAAAAGATTAAAACAAAACTCATATAAATACCTTGCCTTCAAATAACTTAGAATCTAGAAGTCAGGTGGATGAAAGAGGAAACAAATACTGATATCTCTAATACATGATACACTGTGTTAACTTGGACTCATGTGGATTTGTTATATCATGGGCAAATTAAAATTAAATAATATAAAACTTCTTTCATAGGCCTAATATAGTGTGGCATAAACAGCATGCTCTGTGATAAGGGCTACAGGAACAGTTAAAGATCTAGGTGACACAGGAAAAAACCAAAATAGATCACCTCCAATTTAGGTCAGCACAGGAGAAATCTTATGGAAGAACATTGAAGATAGATCTTCATTTGGAGTTTTTTAGATAAAGGTTTGTGAGTAGAGGCAAGAATATATCTATATAAATAGGGATGTGAACACAGGCAAGTACAATTCAGGAAAGGCAGATATTCTATATTTAAAATGTGTAAATAGTGAATTGTTGAATAAAGGGAAATAAAGCAAGAGGAGGATTTCGAGGGATATTGGTATGGACAAGTCAATATATAAAATTTGTTGGAAAGTGGGGAATCAACCCCTTAGTGTTTTTCAATGTGGAACAAACACAATCAAAGTGGTACTTTGGGACAATCCAATTGGATAACATTGTGCAAAGTTCACTGCAGCACGTGAGAGTGGGAAATAAAGAGAATCTGAATGAGAATATCATCATAGCCTACACAGCAACTCCAGATATAGCCTTCAGGATGGATGTCCGTCAACAAAAGGTGTGCATGTGAGGGCCACTGAATCAAAATCCATATGGAATTCAATGAATTTCCTTCTAAGTATCAGCTGATATCTGAACTAATCCCAAATACTCCTCTTTTTAGATTTATATGAATATGTATTTTCTAATTTTTTATTTGTTGTAAAGTTAAATTATATTTATAGCACCTTAAAATGAATTAATAACATATTTAGTTATAATATGTCTTACACTATAGGAAACAAAAAACTTTGCTAATTTTTTCTCAATAAAATATTAGAAAGCATGGCCCTTTTGAAACAATAAAAAAATTAAAAGACAGTGAAGTAAGCTCATTGAGATGTGTGCTGCCTGATTAGTCAGCTCATGCCTTCCTCTCTGAAGACACTGAGCTTTGATTGCCCCACCCTTGTTCAGCTGGGGTTACTACTTTTTCCCTTCATTACTATTGCAGCTGTGGAAGCACCGAAAGACTCCCCAATGAATTCTCAGTCTCAGACATACTCCTCCCTGCCCCGACTATGTAATAGCAGCCCTACCTCCTCATAACCATGAGAATCCAATATTCCCACTGTACAGTAACTCCTTTCTTGCCCCATTGATATAAAAGAGTTATTCGAAACATTCAAAGGCTCAGGTTCAGACTTGTGTTCTCTGATGATAATGTCGCTCTGCTGGGAACCAGGACCCCAGACTAGTGGAGCTCAGTTGTAGAGAAGCAGAGGGAAACTTCTAAAAGTGGGTCACTAAGAGTAGTAGTTAAAGAAGCCCATCTTAATTCCACCCTTTGGTTGCCAGACCATGCCTTCTACATATACAGCACATAGCACTATATATTGGATGTGGCCTTAATGGACATATAACATCCTGGACAGTGGCATCCACAGGGCAGTCCCCAAGTTAATGCCTTACTTGAATGTCAGTCTTAGCCCAGATATTTCCTGGTGTTTTGATATGTTGTAGAAGGAGTGGGTCATTTAGACCTGTGTCCATTATTACACATACTTCACTATAAAATGGCTCCTTTGTTCTGAGGCTGAATCATGTGGGATTCCGTGTCAGTATATCAGTTATTTTCTAAGCCCATAAATAGTGGTGACTGCAGAAACACTTGGAGTAGGGAAGAAAATTCATATTTGGAGTGAGGCATCGGTTCCAACAAGGAAAACTGCTGCCTATGCCAGCGTGGAAGGGATCCAAGGTAATCAACTTGTCCCCAAAGGGCTAGCAGATCCCCTGCAAGGGCTCACTGCACATGAACTTTCAATACAGCAGTAGTTAGCTCAGTATTGATGAGAGAAAGCACATGCTGTTGGCTGCATGTATGGTCTCCATCTCTACAAACATGGCCCCTCATTCTTGAGGCCATTTCACAGGCAATGGTGTACGTAGCTGGACATAGTGTCTGGCTAGCATCCACAGGAGAAGTTATTTCTCCACCATGTTGTCAAATGCCCTTTGGCATTGGATCCTCCCTACTAGTTCCATCTACATGCCTCTATTCCAGAATCTCTTTTCTATTTTCTTTTAGTTTTGCTCATCTAGATCTTGACCAACCAGGCATTTGCACCACCCAATAGCCCATGTATATCCTTATATCAGGCCATATCTCCTCTCTGTGAATCAGGCCTGAGTTTCGCCCCAGGAGGCCACAGGTTTAAGTTATAGAAGGGGATCATTACAGCAGAGGTCATGGAGCTCTGAACCAATTGTTCATGTGATTTTCTGGGCCCTCTGAAGTGCCTGGGTCTGATTCTGACAGCACAATTTTCAACGTACAGTAGATTGCTGATGCTCCTGCCCAAAACGATGACTTGGTGGATCTGATGATACCAATTTTGTGATGAGTAGCTCTGGTCAAAGCATCACTTGATACCTAACGGTCAGGCTTTCAGTCTCAGGTAGTGCTCAGTAGCTTTCCAGGAAGTGGTTTTCAAATAGTGAGTAGTTTTCTCTTGAAGAAGTCCTGGCCTTTTTCTAGAACTTCAAAAGTCTATGTTGTGACTCTCCAACTGGGTTTTGCCAGAAACTACAAATAGAATCCTTATTAAAAAAACGGACAGTACTTGTCAGATTGAATGTGATCTTGCACCACAGCAGGAACCTAACTGGATAAGCCTCTCTTTATGAGATTCTCACTCAAAACTGTCAAGCTTCCAATTCACCTGATAAGTTGATGGGAACAATATTCCCAAGTGCAGAACATGCTTTTCAAAATCCATAGATGCCCACATATTGCTATGCCTCTTATGGTCGATAGTGCAAGATACAGTAATTTGACCTTAACTTTAGTGGGGGTGTTTTTGCAAGAACTTCCTCTACATTTCGAATAAGAGCCATTATTATAGCAAGGATCAAGTCTAAGTCTCTGAAACTGCCATCATTGTGTCTATGTTTTAAGGGATCATACCAGAAACATTACTACAGGGCCCCAGTTCCTTGCTAGGACATTACATTCTTAAACTCTAAGTAAAGAATCTCATCAATGTTTAATATTAATCAAATCCCACTTCCGTATTATATCAAAATTTTACTTTGAGTCATAATTTCTCTTCTGATGTTATATCAACAACCATACGTACTAACATACAAGCAAGTAAAAAATTGATGAAAAGAAACATAAGCAAATATTTATGCTGCAAATGTACTCATTATTTCATCTCAACATTTTATATAATATTAAAAAAATCCAAATTGGAATTAAAGTTAAAGAAAATATGGCATATCTGTTTTAATTCATACAAAATATCAATCATGTAGGGAAATTTATAAAGCAGAATTCATAATTACATATAGTCTATTATGAAATATAGAAAATTAAAATCTAATGTCTCAAAGCACAAATGTCAAAATGTTAATGGGCTATTTTTAGGTTTTTAGATTGTAATTTCTGCTTGCCATTGGCTTTTATTCATTCTGGGCATAAAATCTTTCTAGAAAAAAATTTAAAGATATATTAATATATAAACTGCAAATTCTTGCACAAATGCAATGCATTATGCTTTAAGGAGTTGAGCCTAAAATATTTTTGTTAAAATATGTCATACGCAAAAATTGTCCAAAGTGCCTCTTAAATCAGTTTGTATATAATAGGATGTATTAGTACACAACTAAAGAGAACAAATCTAAATCCACATGAAAAATACCAAAAATATTTGTTTCCTTCTCCTGATTAAAAAAACGGATTTGACATTTGGTTTCAGTACAACTTGATTTATATCCAGTTGCTGTCCATTAATTTCCTTTGTGCTTACTAACCTTAACATATTCTTTTACATACACTATTTGGTGGAAACTTTCCGCTACTATTAAATAAGTTCAGTAACTTGTCTGAAGAAATACAGCTTGATCAGAAGAAAGTGTAGATGGTGTTGTATTATTTGTTAAAAAAAAAGCTTTCAATAAAAATTTAATAGAGCATCAAGTTTATCAGTGATTGAATTAAATGTTAAGAACTTTAAAATAATGTACCCATTTCTTTAGAAGAGTCCAGCATAAATATCATTAGATTATCTGCAAAGAAGACGCCCAGCTCCCAGCATTCCCGGTAACATCGAGCAGCAATTATTCCCCAGTGCTGGTGAGGGTTAGACTTTACTGCTTTCAATCGGCCTGTAGAAGAGTTTACTCTCTGGACTATCTTCTCCGTTATATTAGGCATGTGACAGTAATTTGAAAAGACGAAGTGAATATCTTATTGAATTTAACGTATGCTGTAACTGTTAAATTGGCTTTATAACATGGAAGGATTTTCTTAAAGTGATGGGTAAGTAACTGAAATGATCATAAAGATGAATGGAAGTGAGGTCAGGAAAGATAAAAGGAGTCAGACTGGTTGTGAAGATTCAAGGTGCGTGTGTGCTGGTACATGGCACAGATACAGCCACATCCATGAAGGCAAGAGCCAGATGAGCAACGGTTCAAGTGAAACTACTCCAAAGAGACTGGATTCAACAGGCCTCAGGAGGCTCAGATCAAGGTGTAGCAATGGCTCTTTGGAAGGTTGCTGGACAGCTGAAGACTGTTTTCCCAGGCCACACTGGATATTAAAGGGACTATACAAAGAGTAAAGAGGAGGTGGCTCCTGGAGTAAGGGAAGTTATCTCCGTTTACCTGGAACATTCCCCTGAGTGTTAGCATTTGTCAAACGTTGCTCACTCCTGGAAGACGCTGGAGTCTGTTCAGACACGACTGGACTCTGAGCTGATTCTCTCTCCTGAGGCAGCAGAGAAGGCCAGAGCCGAGGGAAAATTTAGGCACTGGGCAGTATTAAAGAAGCAGGGAAGAGATTAAAAGTGTTAAACTAACCAAACTCATTACTGCAGTCTAAGAAGAGCACAGAGCTTTCTCTCTGCCTTTCTCCCTCTCGCTCTCTTACTTTTTTTTTTTGCCAGAAACCATTTGAAAAGGAGAGGGAGAGATCCTCATGACTCAGCGAAATCGCCCTCTTAGCCATCTTATTTATATTCTATTCTCCATCAGTTTACACTGTTTAGAGTTTAGACCAGGGGTTGGCAAACTTTTTCTGTAAAGCATCAGACAGTATATATTTTAGATTTAACAGGCCAACACTGTTAAGCCTACTCAACTTCACATGTAACACAAAGGCAGCCATGACAGTACATAAATGAATGGGCGTGGCTGTGTTCCAATAAACTTTACATAAATGAGTGACAGGTTGGAGTTAGCTCAGGAACCATAGTTTGCAGAACCCTGGCTTAGACATGGAGACTGCATCAGTTAGGCACGCACCACACTGCCATGATAAAGAGATCCCCAGTACAGTAACTTATGCAAGATACGCATCCACTTACTTCAGTATCACTTTCCAGAGTTACACCATTCAGAGCTGGTCAAGAGGCCACACCATCGTCAAATCTGAGTCACTCACAGCTTCCCACTCCATCAGGTCTGGATTTGACTCCTCCTGGTCCAATGATTTCTAAATTAATAATATGAGTGCTTTGCATCTGATATATTATGGTGAGGAAAAAACAGGATAACCACCAAAACAGAGAAGCAAACAAAAATGTAAATAAAAATAAAACAAAACTCCTTCCCCTTTAGAAAAGAAAAGGCTTTGAAAGAGGTGTCATTGGTTGGTAACACACAGAGCAGAACCAGGGGGCCCTTCTGCCGTGGACGTGCAGTCAAGGTCTTTTTGGAGACCCTGGTTCTGCTCTCTGAAAGGAACTTTCGGATTCATTGTGCTTTGTAATCCTAGCCTTTCCATCTGGATAAATCTTCCTTTTCTGCTATTTCACATGTCACATATGAGTGGGACATTATATAGTGTGACCTCCTTTGCTGCATTATATGTGTTTCACACTTTTTCTTTGTGGGTTTGGGGCCCGAGATGATCTTAGAGGTGGAACTATTGGGCCTTATGTACCAAATTTCTGGTATAGTTGGCAATATAATTCTTTTGAAAAGTCAGAAACTTTCCAGGCCCTTTGCTTTCATTCAGTTCTTTGTGGATGTAACCGTAGCTCCAGATTTATTTGGACATAGGTTTTAAGCCAACATTGCTGCCATCTCTGTGTGTAACACCAGCACTACTAAGCACCCAGTGAAAGACGATCATCCTGTGGCTACATGTGTCTAAGTTCTCGTCTTTAGAATATCTGAGAACTGATGTGTGCCGCATGGGGAAATTGCCCTCAGGAGAACTGAATGTGTTCTCCTCTCATTCTTTCCTCCCCCTCCTGGGTGTGAGATGGGAATTGGACCTGCCCCCTTGGGTTCAGACACAAAAGCTATGCTTAGGGAGTGACCATGCCACCCCACCTGAGCTGAGAGAGGTAAATGGCTCTTTTGTTTAAGCCACTGAATTTTTAGGTCTGTCTTTAGAGCCAACAGCCTCTATCTTGACAGTAGAGACATAGTGCCTCTGGAAGTTGCTATGCAGTTTTATGAATCTTCAACCAATCAGTTGGTTCATAATCTGTTCGGTTAATATAAATAGAACTTAAAAGTGTATTAGTAATAATCCAGGGGTGCAGATGCCAATGGCCTCTGAATACAAGGGTCAGAAATACAGAGAAAACAACTGGTTTACTATATTTGCTTCCAATGTTTATAGCATAATCAATCAGCTGTGCTTCTGTTCCAAATGGCCTTTTTATATGTAGCACTCTGAATTTTCAACAAAATTCTTCTGAAAGCACTGTAATGAGCCATGAGTTTGTGCAAAATGTAAGTAATTCAATCCTCCTCTTTAAAACCACAGAAGGACTTGTATCCATCTACCTCTAATATTCTCCAAAGATTAATTGAAGCCATAAAGCACATACACAAGCACAGCATGAAAGAAACCTATGCTCAGGTTGTGTGCATGCAAATATCAGTATCTATTAAAATCATATCTTATTGGTGATGGCCATACTAATATTTGTAGCTAATTTTTTTTTTTTTTTTTGAGGAAGATTAGCCCTGAGCTAACATCTGTCACCAATCCTCCTCTTTTTTGCTAAGGAAGACTGGCCCTGAGCTAACATCCATGCCCATCTTCCTCCACTCTTTATGTGGGACGCCTGCCATAGCATGGCTTGTCAAGAGGTGTGTAGGTCCGCACCTGGGACCCAAACCAGCGAACCAAGGGCAGCTGAAGCAGAACTTGTGAACTTAACCACTGTGCCACTGGGCCAGCCCTATTTGCAACTAATTTTATTGAGCATTTTCTATGCACCATATTCTGCAGGAAATAATTAGAAGATAATTTAGAAGGAAATGAGACTAGCTCAAGCTCACACAGCTAGAAAGAGGCAAAGCTGAGATTTAGATTTTTAACATTTTAGATGGGAAAAAATTCAGTTAAGTTGGCCAAGGTATTGACAACCACGATGCATAGAAGTGTTTTTGTCTTAAAATAATTTATCAAGATCACCTATTTCTTCATTCAGATCTGATGATTATAAGTTTATTAATACAGATGATCCAGTTTGAAGGATTTTTGTTCTCACCTGGATTCAGTTTTGCAGCTTGTCTGGGTATCAGATCTTAGTTTATATTTAAGATAGTGACTTTATTATTTCTGATTTTCCTCGTAAAATCTTTAGATTTAAATGTTGTAAGTGAGATATTGTGTTGATTGAAGAAGCAGTCAATAGTATCACTTCTCTACATCCTGAATCCTAGTCCCTCATGGCGACCGATAAGTTATGCTATATTTGGCCAAAGGATGTCCTTTAAAAACACCATGAGTCTGGGGCTGGCCCCGTGGCCGAGTGGTTGGGTTCGCGCTCTCTGCTGCAGGCGGCCCAGTGTTTCGTTAGTTCGAATCCTGGGCGCGGACATGGCACTGCTCATCAGACCACGCTGAGGCAGCGTCCCACATGCCACAACTAGAAGAACCCACAACGAAGAATACACAACTATGTACCGGGGGACTTTGGGGAGAAAAAGGAAAAAATAAAATCTTTAAAAAAAAAAAAAAACAATACCATGAGTCTGAGTGTGGTGGTGAGCAGAGCTGTGAGCACACAGATGTCAGCCTGGGTAATGATAGCACGAGAATGAAACAGAGCCCAGCCCTGAAATTCGTCAGGTGTAATCCAGTAAGTCAATGGGAGAGCTGCCTGATATGTGAGACCCTGTGTTCCGGGATAGTCACAAACCAAGTACATTCACCTGGTTGCCAGGAAAATTGGAAATGAAAGTAGATATCTAGAAAACTGAAAGGAGAAATTATTTACCTCTGAATTTAAGATTAAAAAAAGGAATTTTGCTATGCCTCAGTAACTGATCCGTGTCTCATTCATTCTCTGCTTTCTCTCAGAAACTTTCCACTTAGAGAAAGAATTTAGTGGAAGCTGTCAGAAACTGGGAAATTGCAGGTATATTTTTTGACTTAAAGCCTAAGTAGCAAATTCCATTGCAAAAGCACCCTCGCTGGGTGGAGGGAAAGGCTGACTCTTCTTGAAGTTTGGAGGAGTCCTAATTCTTGAGGGTATAAATTTGATTTTTTTCAAATAACTGTCTCCAACCATATTCTGATGGATCCTTCTTTTACACTGGGAACGCGTCGTGATATCTTGGTTCCATTCCAGAATTTCTGTCGTTTTGCATTAATAGAACAGCCTCATTTCAGCAGTTGTTTGGTTATTTTCATGTTAAAGATTTGGTTATTTACCTTTTTAAAGCTTTATTCTCACTCAGTTCAAAGTTTGCCCTTGCCCCCACGGCCGGGGCTCCCTGAGATAGGAAAGGCTCTGCTCTCCGGCTTGAGGACCCTTCCGCCCTTTCTCCTTTCTGTGCTCGAGGTCCAGGGTGGGGCCCAGGAAGAAGGGAGAGGGGCTAGGCAAGCCCAGGTCTTCTGACTTGCCAGCGAAGGCCTCCCCCGGATTTGGTCTGTTCTTACTCATCTTTAGCCCTCACTTACGTGGTGGCCTTCGCATGGCTATGTCCCCGGCGTATGCCACCAAGGTGGGCAGGCCTCTCCCTAGCTCATGGCTGCCCACAGCCCCTCCCCCTCTGGAAGCCCCGTGCTCTTTTTGTGAGGTCATAGGGACAGCTGAAGATTTTGTTGACCCTCACCTTGGGCCCCAGACACAGGGGGAATGACCCATTCTTTTTCCCCAGTTGTTACCCAAACCACGTCCCCTGCCAGCACTGTGGCACAGATGGCGTCAGCAGTCCTTCCTTGGTCAGAAATCCCAACATCAGAGGTAGACACTGCTCTTTAGTTTGAATATACGCTGTGCTTTTCTTCCCCATGGTAGGAGAGAAGAACTAACAAGTTATAAAAACCATGAGGCCAAACTCCCAGGATGTTCTCAGGAACAGCTTCTGCACCCTCCGCTCTTTGCTGGGTGCCAGGGGCCAGCAGGTTCTGAAGCTCAGTAAGCATCAGCTGGATTGCTGAGCTCACTTTTTCTAAGTACGTTTAGTCTTTGCAAGTGATCTTTTTGGGTTCTCTTGGCTTTAGCTTCTCACCCACGGACCCGCACTCTCTAAGAGGCAGATAACATTCTCAGCCATCTTCTTATATTAGCTTGAGGGCGGAGGCAGGAGCAAGGAGCTGAGTTTATAACCTCTTAATTAACTGAGGAAAATTGGCTAATCTCACCTGCTCGTGGCATTTTCAACTTAGACTGTTTGGTACAGAGTAATTTTATCCTCAGCTTCGGGCTATGGCATCAATTCTAGGACAACAGGAGAAATCCCATTTGATATTTTAGAAGTCCTCGTTAGTCACTTTGAGATAGAATACTGATATGACTCACTCATTCTATTAGCTATTACCGATGGCCCGAGGAAATAGATAGTTATTCTCTTGTACTAATGCCACGAAAGTAAAATCCTCTTGTTTCCCTACAGGGCATGCAGAGCTCCTTTTGATTAGGAGGGAGTGGAGACCTCTGCCCTCCGAATGGAGCTAATGGAAGAGGAAGGTAGCAGTACAAATCACTTCCCTGAGTACAAAGGGAAGGTGTGATTCTTCTGACAGCTGAGAGACTGGATTCTTAAAATGGAGTCATCAAATGTCAACACTGCAAGGGACATTGGAGACCATGTAAGTCAAGTCTGATTTTACACTGGAGAAAACCAGGGTCCAGCCTGGAGGAGGGGGCACTGAAGGGCCCTCAGCTATTCTGAAAAGTTGAGAGTTAGAGACCAGATTACTTGACAACAAATGATTTCCATAGAAATTCTAAAGTTGTTTTGTCAACCTGTTTGAACACAGAGAGATAGGACTGTGCACGCTTCACTGGAATAAAACATTCATAGTTATGATAAGAAAAAGATGAAAGCACTTGTTGGCGTCAGCACTGACTACCTTTCAGTGCAACTGTCAGGATGAAACAAGTGTCGGATCCATCCCCTGCCTGGCCTTTCAGGCACACCGATGGGGCTTCATAGAATCACTCAGAGGTATGTGTCATGGATATCCCAGATGGAAAACAACGTGAGATTTTCACTTCCAGAATACACGTGCCCAGTACTACCCATACCCACTGAGCACCATGGTCAAAGACACTAAAAGAATTGCAGTGAGAGAAAACAGCTGCCTAATTGAGATACAACCCAGCACCAGCAAAGCTTTAAATTACAGCGATCAGGATAAAAGACAACTTATAGTCTTTGTAAAATGAAGGCATATGTTAATTTTTCTTAAAGCATAAATTTGAAATCATCCTAATTAAACAATTTGGCATAACTTAGATTTACTTTCTCTTCTTATCCTTCACATTTTTCCCATAAGGAATAAACCTCATCCAGAATTAGTATCAATGTATATTTAAGGACTTGGAAATAATAATTTAGTCATGCATCCTGTCATGAAAAATGGCTAACTTTAAGATGGCACTTTTTATATTGGTTGTAGTCTGCTTCCAATAATAAAAACTGTGTTCTAATGAGCTGACATTTCCATCGCCCTGAAGAGGTTCTGTAATTAGGCATCTAAAAACAGTGGCACAGTTAGGCAGTTGTAGTTATTTTTAATTGCTTTATTCCTAATGAGGAAGCATTTTGGATTCACTTGCAGCATTTTTAGTGGGTGAAGAAAACATCTTGATAAAAATAATGTTCTCAAATATTTGCCTCTGTGCCCAAATAAGTAAAAGGACATTTTTTATTTCTTTTTATTTTATTAACCAAAGGTATTCTGCAACCTTCACTTGGCTACTCAATAAAATTATCTAAAAGTGGGAACTGCTCAACTCTTTTCACAATGTGAGTAAGATCACCGGCAGCATTTTGGATGACTCCATCATTGACGAGAAAGGCAGGAGGCCACATTCATTTTGGGTGAAGTGGGATGAGCAATTAGTCACCCAAGTTCAGGAGTATGTTTTTTTTTTTAAGAAGATTGGCCGTGAGCTAACATATGTTACCAATCTTCCTCTTTTTTTTCCTTCTCCCCAAAGCCCCAGCACATAGTTGTATGTGCTAGTTGAAGATCATTCCAGTTCTTCCATGTGGGATGCCGCCACAGTGTGGCTTGAAGAGCGGTGTGTAGGTCCGTGCCCCATATCAGAACCAGTGTACCCTAGGCTGCCCAAGCAGAGTGAAAACTTAACCACTCAGCCATGCGGCCAGCACCACAAGCTCAAGAATACTCTGCATAGCTTTTATGTCTGAAGATGGTACACTTAAGTCTTATTTACCTTTACATTAAATTATAAAAAACTACTAAAACTACACGTAGATTCAAGAAGCCTTGTAAATGACCTCCAATTATCATTGAGCCCCTGAATTTGTTTCTCAGTAGCAAATCCACTTAAATTCTTCTGAGCAGGGCACTTCTTCGAGCTCTCAGTTTCCTGGTTCCCCCTCCAATGTCCTCTGTTGGAATGCCTGCTTGAAAGCCAGGGGGAGTCTCTCAATCGCCCTAAGACCACCACCAGCATGAATGCCAAGGTGGTGTAAGCTTTGCACAAAGGTGGGAGAATGGATCTCTTCTGAATTTTGTCACCTGCGGTCCAGAAGTAGCACCTCCGTGCAAGGGGTTCTGTATTAGTCAGGATTCTCCAGCGAAACTGCACCAATAGGAGTTATATGTATGTATATGAGATTTACTATAAGGAATGACAAGCAGACATAAGGAATTGGCACACACCATTATGGAAGTCAGGAAGTCCATCACTCTGCAGTGTAAGGCCTAAGAACTGGGAGAGCTGACAGTGTAAGTTCCAATCTGAGTCTAATGGCAGGAAACCAATGTCCCAGCTTCAAGACCTTCAAGCAGAAAGAGCTAACTGAGTCTTTCTCAGCCTGTGGTCTATTCAGGCCTTCAGCGGAGTGGGTGAGGCCTGTCGGCACTGGAGAGCATAATCTGATTTACTCAGTTTACAAATTCAAAAGTTAATCTCATCCAGAAAACTCCTCACAGACCAATTCAGAATAATGTTTCACCAAATTTCTGAACGCCTGTGGCCCAGCCAAGCGGACATATAAAATTAACTGTCCCTCTTACCTTGAGTTGCTGGCCTTCTGCTTCCTATATCATTTTAGCAACTTCCTGGACCTCAACTTCCTACACCTTCATGAGAACAAGAAACTTCTTCCTTTTTTCTAGGCATGGAGAAATCTTCATACTTTCATTAGGTGGGAAATTATTTTCTTTCCTTAAGAAGCACTCACTATAGGATTCAATTCTTGCTACCGAGCACGGGCTGGCTCTGCTCACCACAATCTGAGTTAGAGTTTGAGGAGGGAAGTTTAATTAGATTAGCCATCTAATCAGAAGACGGGTGACTAGCGTCTCAAAAGCCCATCTTCCAGGATTACAGGATCTTGAGGGAGTTATATAGGGAAAATGGGCAGTAAGGAGGGGTCCAGGGCTGTTATGCTCCAGGCATGCCGGGCTCCAGGCGTCACGTTGTTCCATTCTTCTGTCAGCTGTGATGGATCCCTTGTAGGTGTGCTTCCTGCCTGTGATCTGCCTGTTCCTGGAGAGAAACTCATAGAACAAAGTTTTAATTTATCAAGCTTTCGGGGAGCACATACATAAGCAGAGGCCATCAATCAGGAGAGTATGTGAATTTTTTAGAGTATGTGCAGAGCAGCCGGTAGTTGCACAGAGGAGGGGCTGGGGCCTCACTTATGCTCCCTTATATTCTGTTTATAACTTATAAGTATGTGACCACGTCCCACAGAGGTAGCTTGACTCTGGAAGCCAGACTTCTCAAACTTAATTTTTTATCTCTAAAAGACCCAAATATGGTTTTCTTAGAAGAAAAGGAACAATTGTACCTCAAGGTACAATAATGCCTCATCTCCTTCAAGTAGATTTGAAATGGAAGTTTTTGCCTCGTGGAGACCACATATTCTAGGACCCAGAATTCAGGTACGAAGACACGAAGACTTCATTTAAATATGGATTCTTCGAGAAGAAAGGTCCCCCGTGGTATGTCCTGGGAATGGAAACTCGGCCCTCTTGGAGACAAGAGCAGGGGAAAATTTATTTCCCTCCTAAAAAATTGATGCAGACGTTCATGATATTATCCTGCTAAAATATCTTCAGATTATGACTTTCATATATATAACTTTTTAATTTTGAATTCTATGGTGTCCTGAAGTCATACATAAATTTTTTAAAACAGAACAAAATAATTAAGAAAATGAAACATAATAAGATTTGCTTCCCCCTGGTAATATCTGCTGTCTTTGTTAATCAACTCCAGAGGCAAAGCTGGGATTCAGTCTTTATTTCTGGGCAGTCCATTTCTTAGATGATTGTTAATGTCTTATTGTCTCCTCCCTATGGTTTCCATTTTAAATTAAGGTTGCTTCCCTAGATGGCTTTTCTTGCAGAATTTTCTTTATATGATCACAGATACTCATAAAACCAGTCCAATGCCGATTAAACCGTAACAAATTTGTGCAAAATGCTATTCAAAAAATTATGTTATGCTTGCCAGACTATTTCCTTAAACTTTGGGAAAATGTACACAAGAAAAGGACCTAACAAATCATTTCCTTTAGGTTCTTTACGTTATAAATTAGGAAACTGTAGCAGAGGGGCACCTAAGAAATATTCCTAAACTGCCCAGAGATCGTAGAACTGTGGCTCAATCCTGAAAGTTCTGGCCCCAGGACTGCAGTCTTTCCCAGGAAATATGATATCGGAGTATCCAGAGCTTATAAAACTTGCAAAGGGAAAAGAGTTATAGTTAATAAATGTGGTATAGATAGAATCGCAAAAGATGAAATCCTCCATTTCGTTGAGCTTGAAAAATATGTAAAAAGACCAACCCTTCGCTCATTTTAAATACAGAAACAGCTTAATTTCAAATATTGGTTAAGCATTACTAAAATATTCTAAAGCATGATTTCTGTCAATGTGGCATGCATAACTAAAGAAAAAAATTCTAGCAATCACCGTAAATATGCTGAAATAAATGCATTCTTAATTATAAAATTGATAAATTGGAAAAACAAAAAGAGGTGAACTGGATTGTTCAATGACAAAAGTTCAGATTTCTATTAAAAACCTCAATCCCTCAAACATATATATAGGTTTAATTTGCTGCAATTAACTCCAAATTCAGACATATAAAGACAGGGATGTGCTTTAGGGTGTAAGGAAGGCACCCCAGTTTATTTTTAATAGCTGGCAAATTGACGGATGGAATTGCTTCCCATACATCCCATCTCTCTGGAACAAAAGTGAACAAACCCAAGACAAAATAAATCTTGTGGTGAAGAGAATGAGAAGGTGTTACATTAATGGTCTAAAGTCTTCAACAAATTTATGAAAAACAGCCAGTTGATGGGAGCTAGTTGACAGACAAAGTGAAGGACAGAGGACCCTAGGATAGACTATGGTAGGAAAAGACAGAGGCAGAGGAAGTGGGGGCCATTTTGCCGGACAGAACCCCAACAATTTAGCATACACATGTGCACACACTGGCAACCACACATAGTCACAAACACACACCACATTTTAAAGAATATCAGTTATCTAAGATTGTAACCCTATGGATTATTTCTGCATTTGATACGTCTTTACTCTGTGCCTGGTCTTTTTCAGTCGTTACTTCCCAATATTGACTTTCCAATTTTGAT